CGGGCAGGCCCGGAGCTCCCACGAGGTGGCGCATTTCCATCCCGGCCTGTTTCGTAGATCTCGGCATCCAGGGCCCGTGGTCGGGGCAATCCGAAACTGGTCCGGGGCGAAGAACTACCCTCCGGGGAGGGGGCGCCAGGACCTCTGTGGCCGCTCACTGAACCTCCTCCTCCTCCTCCTCCTCCTTCCCTCCCCCTCTCCCGCCTCCCTCCTCCCTCCTCCTCCTCCCTCCTCCCTCCTCCCTCCTCCCTCCTCCCTTCTCCCTTCTCCCTCCTCCACCTCCTCCTCCGCCCCCTGCTCCTCCCCACTCCTCCTCTTCCGCCTCCGCCCTCCATACCTCTCCTCCTCCCTCCTCATCCTCCCCCTCCTCCTCCTCCTCCTCCTCCTCCTCCTCCTCCTGTATGCCTTTTCCTTATGAGTATCTTATCCCTATCGCGAGGCCAGTCGGAAGGGCGGGCCAAGAATTTCGCCTGAGACGTCATTAGCCTCAGCTTCAACACTGGCAACAGTTCGCAGGGGAAGAGCGGGTGGTTTCCAAAATGTGGCTCTCGCCGTCGCGCCGCGCACATTCGTTTCAAAATCTTGCAAGAGTTCCACGGATTGTTGAGGACAGGTGGTTTTCAACATGTGGCTCTCGCCTTAGTGCCGCGCGCATCGGTTTAACACATGTGCAGCAACTTCACGTATTGAGGGCGGCTTGTTTTCAAAATGTGGCTCTCGCCTTCGCGCCGCGCGCATTCTGTCTTAACAGTTGCAAGAGTTTCACGTGCTCTCATGGTTAACGTCCCAGAAACGGCGTTTTAGAACGATTCAGGATTGTCAGGGCGCAACAGGTGTGTAGACTCGCGGTGTTGCAGTCCCAGGGATGGTGTTCTGGCACGATGCAAAATCGTCGAGACGCAGCAGTCAGGTTGACTCGTGGTGTTGAGATTATAAGAATCGTGTTTTGATGCGCTCCAGGACTTTCACACGGCTGTCCCCCAACGGGGCACTTCCGTCAGTAGAAATGAATCCCTGTAGTGGCCTACGAAAACGGCGCTTGGAGGAAGGGTGTAATTCAACATCGTTGATGAGTCGTGGGTTTGCACTGGTCCTCCTTCTCCTCCTCTTGCTCCTCCTCCTACTCCTTCCTCCCTCCTGCCTCCTTCCTCCTTCCTCCTTCCTTCTCCCTCCTTCCTCCTTCCACCTTCCTCTTTCCTCCTTCCTCCTCCTCCTCCTCCTCCCTTTCCTCCTCCTCCTCCTCCTCCGTCCTCCTCCTCCTCCTCCTCTCCTCACCTTCCTCCCCTCCCCAGTCTCCTCCCCCTCCTCCTCCTCCTCCTCCTCTTCTTCTTCTTCTTCTTCTTCTTCTTCCTCTTCCTCTTCGTCTTCCTCTTCTTCTTCTCTTCCTCCTCCTCCTCCTCCTCCTCTTCCTCCTCCTCCTCCTCCTCCCTCCTCCTCCTCCTCCTCCTCCTCCTCCTCCTCCTCCTCCTCCTCCTCCCCCTCCCCTCCCCCTCCTCCTCCTCCTCCCCTCCTCCCCTCCTCCTCCTCCTCCTCCTCCTCCTCCTCCTCCTCCTCCTCCTCGCGCACGTGCTGAGGGGCGAAAGGGGGGAGAGGTCCTTCCGTCCTCGGGAAAAAAAACGGGGAGGGGGGCCCTTCGGAGAGGACCTTTTTGTCACCCTGGCAGGAAGGCCGAAGACCTGCCAGGGGCCAGCGACGGGGCCCCCCTCACCCAAAACTAAGGCGGGCGGAGCGCCTGCCCGCTGGCGACGAGAAGGCCAGGTCGCCAGGGCTCTGCGAGAGGCACCCAGGTGGAGCCTTGAAGATACCTGCCCTGCGCGAGGCCTCGCAAAACACGCGCGCCCCACGCACTGGGACGGAGGTTGCACTTCGCCCTGAAAGAGGCAGAGAGCGCGACGCCTCCGACGCCGCAGACGGCACAGACCATGCCTGTGGCCCCATTCCCGAGGTGGATGGGGAAGGCCAGATGGGAGGGATGCCCATCTCTCCTGAGAGCAGCGAGCACCACGTCGGCTCGGGAGACGATGGGCGGCACAGCGACAGGAGGCGGCTCAACAGACAGGGCAGCATGGGCTTCGCGCACTCTGCGCGACTTGACGTGCAGACAGTCTAGGTCGGCCATCTTGCAGCCGATTCTGCCGACCCAAACCGTCAAAAACCTGAGCACCTTCGCCTGAGCGGCGTAGGCGTCTCGATACAAAAGCGGGGCACGAGTGAATTCGGCAGCTTCCTTGGCAGTGGCATCGGCGAGCGAGTTGCCCACGCGCTGCCTGCAAGTGACGAAACCTCGCTCGAGGTCGGCCGCCGTGGTGTGGGCCTTGACTTTGCACAACCGAAGAGCCTCCACCCCACCACGATCCTCAATCGCGGCCCACACCAGGCGCCAGAGATCTGCCCAAGCAGCTCTGGCCGAAAGACAGTACAGCTTGCCACGCCTGAAGACTCCATCAAGGACGAACTGCGAGTCGGTCCAAAACGTGGCACTTGGAAGAGCAAGCCGCAGAGCTCGGAGGAACGCCCAGAGCTCTACGGCGTCGGTATCGTAGAGACCAGGAGGCAAGCCACCAGCCAGGACGGCGACAGAGACGGGCCTATCGTCGTGCAGGGCGACCACGGCCCATCCTAGACTGTGTGCCTCTGGTGGCAGGTGTCCGTCCAGGAGGCTGCCGTCCAAAAAGAGGTCTCCGTCCAGCAGACCAGGGTGCCCCTTGAGCCAAAGCTCGTCGGGAGGAACAGGGCGAGCAGGCGGAGGGGCAGGCAGCGGCAGCAGCAGCCTCTCAGCGAGAAGACGGACAAGGGGGTGCCCGAGGTTCTGAACCAAGGAGGTGGCCACGGCTGGAGTCTCCATCTGAAAGACTTCGGCGTGTCCAGGGCAGGCCAAATGCCTGTGGGCCAGGGTCCCTGGAGAATTAGAGCACAACTGACACTGGGAGATGGCAGACAAGCGATGCTCGGCTTGCTTGGCTTGAGGCCACTGACCACCGGCAACGACGGAAACGACGTAACCCCTCTCGTGGGCCTCAAGCCGTTGCATGCCAGAAAGCACAGGGGCGAGCATGGGGCCTCTGCCGAACTCTGGCATATTGAGATGCTCGGCAACTCGCTTCCAACACCAGCTCTGCACAATGCGCTCAAGATGCCGCGCGACGGCCCTGGGGCAGAGCTCAAGGAGCGAGAAGCGGCCAACGCACTCGTGCGAGAGAACTAAGCCGTCGAACGTAATGCCGAGACGACGGGCGGAGGCAACACAACTAGTGAAAGGCCCTCGGATGGACCTCCAGGGCACAGAGGTGCTCTCAAGGGCCTGGTGAGCTCCGTCGAGGCCAGCGAGGATGAGCGGGATGGGCACCCAGGACTCCCACACAGCAGCAGCGAGGTGCAGGAGGGGAGCAGCACACAACTTGTAGGCAGGATCGACTTTTTTGACGCCAGCCATGTGCAAAAGAAGCGTAACAGAGCGTCCATCCAGCTTCTGTGACTGAACGCTGGCCTGCAGGAATCGCGCCTCGCGCAGCTCGGTGTCGGTCGTCCCCATCACCCCCGACCCATAGGAGGTGGAGGCCTGGACGGCCGCACGGACCATGTTGTGGAGAGCTCGCCTTCGGAGCTGTCCCGCCAGCGATGTTATCTTTCTCTGTCGTGCCACCGCTGCCGTGCGGCGGCCACGCTTGGTGACTCGACGAATTACACCACCTGCAGCATAATCAACGCCTAGATTGCGCTCGCTCTGTACTGGGAGAACCTGCAGAGGGCGAAGGACGGAGGCGAGCCGCCTCCGCAGCCGAACGTGTGAAGCGAGCAGCCGACTCTTAGGGCGGCTCACGGGAAGATGCGCGGCCTGCAGCTCGTGGTGAAGCATGGTGGTGGCTCGATCAAGACACTGGTGGACTCGATCCTCCGAACCAACCTTGTGCAGCGCAAAGTCGTCTACCACCACTCCAAGCTGCACTTCTTCTGCAGTCTGGCGGGGGAACGCCGCCTGGACGGCATCGAGCGGAGCCAAGACGACCATCTGCAGGCACAGAGTGGCGAACTGACAGCCAGCCAAGACGGCTTGCTGCGTACAGATCGGTGCGGAGTTCATCCCTGCATACTCTAGCACCCTGGGTGCTCTGTAAAGTGCAATCAGCAGCCGCAGCTGTCTCAGTGGAAAGTTGGAGCGACGTGCCGCCTCCAGCAGCACGCCGTGTCGGATATTCTCGAACGCCTTGCGGAGGTCGAGCAACACTGTGCCCGCCGTGAGATTGCGCCCGACGGCCCACTCCGCAGTGGCAGCCTGGATCCACACGAAGCGCTCCGACCCCCTCCCCGACGTCGACCACCAGAAATCCCGAAAGTTCTCTTGCTGCCACTGCTGGAGAAGGGGACGCCGCAGGCGCCCCTGGACGCGCGCACAGATGTGCAGCAGCGCAATTGGGCGAAGCCCGCCTGCGCGCTTCATGAGAAAAACTATCTTGGTCCACATGCGTGGCCAAGTGAATGAACCTTCGATGGCTAGCAACAGCTGTCTAAAGCACTCGAGGCCTGCGTCGCTGAGCTCATCGAGCTGGCGAGGACTGATCTGATCGAAGCCGGCTCCGCTGGCTGGCTTGAAAGAGCGCAAGCAAGCGCGAAGGTCAGCTAGAGAGAAGTCTGGCAGCGGCGGCCCCATGTCCTGGGGCCAGCACAGAGAATCCTCCAACTCCCCCACACACCAGTACCGACTCCACTCCTCCGCTAACAGGCGCATCTCCTGCTCCTGAGAGGCGGGCGCGCTACGAGGCGCCCCCTCCTCGTCAAAGGACGGGCTGGAGTGCCAGGGAACAACAGGCTTGGAGAGTGAGAAAAGCGCGCCACCACCGGCAGCACTGTGCTTGCGGACCCAATCTCGCCACTCCTGATCACGACGCTTTTCGCCGATCCTCTGGCGATGGGCAGCGAGATCTCGCGCCTCGTGCGCGAGGAAACTAGCAAGGCCCCAGTCCACGTCAGCGGCTACATAAAGAAGACCCAACCACGGCCCC